GAAAAATTGTGGGGGGGGGGGGGGGCACGGGTGGCCAAGGAAATAAGAATCTCTGATCACAGAACTGCTTTGACCAGTGGAAATGCTTATTGCAGGATGATGGTCTGTTTGGCGCCTTTTTCCTAGTGTGCCCACTGATCCGGCCCATGGCCCCCTTTTTGCAGACCTGAGCTCCTGGCCAGAATTCTGGAAAAGGATAAGCAGGTTCCAGCCCTTTTGAGGTAGACCATTCATGGAAAGTATTCTGCCAGCCCTAAAATTGGCCTCAGCTTGAAAAGTCGCTCCACCACCATGATCCCCTAAACTGGAAGCAACCCTCTTTCCTCTGTAGTGTCACCCACTCATTTTATAGACCCCAGCCCCAATTAAACTGTAGCCCCAATTATCCTACTTTGGATACATTAGGCCAGCATTGTCCAAACTTGGCCACTTTAAGATGAGTGGACTTCAACTCCCAGAATAGCTTGTGTTTTGCTATGCTTAATTAAGATGAGTGGACTTCAACTCCCAGAATAGCTTGTGTTTTGCTATGCTTAATTCAGATATTTTGCTCCTGTGACAGGTTGGGAAACCAGTAATTAAAGAGGAAGCGCTCGGAGCAAGGCAGGTGCAGCCTCTGAGCCTCTTAACTAATGGAAGATCAAAATACTAGCTTCGGTCCAGGAATACAACTGCCGCCCTAAAGAAAAAATAGTGTTCTTCTCAAATCAAAGCTACTCGAGAGAAGGCTTAGTATATCAAATAGAATAAAATTTAGAAAATAGAATACAATTTTAAAAAATCTAAAAAAAAAAAGAATAAATAGTCTGATCAAGCTGAATTGTTTTACTACAGGTAGTCCCCAGTTTAAGAACACGTTCCGTTCCCAAGGTCTGTCCTTAAGTCGAATTTGATAAAATTTAGAAAATAGAATACAATTTTAAAAAATCTAAAAAAAAAAAGAATAAATAGTCTGATCAAGCTGAATTGTTTTACTACAGGTAGTCCCCAGTTTAAGAACACGTTCCGTTCCCAAGGTCTGTCCTTAAGTCGAATTTGTATGTAAGCCAGAACAGTATTATTGTGTAATACTGTGTAAGGAGAATTGTGTAATGAACTTGAACCATTATCTATTTAACTCGAATCACTGTGTATTTAACTTGAATTTTCCTACAATGGGCTCCGTTCTTAACTATGGGTCGTCCTTAAACTGGGCGTTCTTAACACGGGGACTACCTGTACTGCTTTAATAATAGAGAGATTTCAGAATTATTCCACAGTGTGCTTAGAAGATGGAGCTCTTTGCTACACTGATCTGTTCAGACATGTTTTAGCAGCTCAGTGAAAGATCTTGCATCAGCATTCACATAGTATGTTAAGCCTTGGCTTATAGCCAGCTTAGCCCATTTGCAAATCCCAGCTATAAACTTAGTTTACAGATTTATTGTGTGGACCCAGAAAATGGGCTCACCTGATAAAGCACATTGGGTGAATACAGTCACTCACTGTATTGCAGATAGGTCCAGGACAGTGTTTTTCAAACTTGGCAACTTTAAGATGTGTGGACGTCAACTCCCAGAATTCCCCAGCCAGCATGAAAAACACTGGCTAGTACATCTCACACACGTGCAGAGGTGGAGATGTTTGCGGCCAAGAGTTGCTTGCTATCAGAACAACCCAGCCTAGCTAGCTAGCTAGCTAGCTAAACAGGCCCAACTCATTGGTGATACCCTGAAGAAATGACTATGGTGAGGATTGGTTCATTATGAGAAGGATTAAGCACCGAAGGTGACAGCACATCATTTCAAAAGGGCAATACAGCTGTCATCGTTGAGAACTGTTAATAGTATTAGGACAAATACCAGGGAGATCTGAACAAAACATTGCAGTGTCTCCTCACCTTGTCCCAGCAATTCTGCCATTTGAAGTTCCAGATTTGCATCTAATCATTCTCTCATCTAGAGGCACCACCAACCTCCAGATGGGCTAGACTACAACTCCCATCTCCCCCCATCTAGTATGGTCTACAAGCAAGAAGAGACCACCACCCCTAAGTTACTATTTTCTTTTTCCAGGAGACTATAGTTTCTGAGCTGTTTTTTGGGGTGGAGCAGGGGATTATAACTTTTTCCTGTTTTTTTTTTGCTTCTACAGACCTTGAGGTTCACATCTGTCCTATCTCTTAGCAATCCTGCTTGGCCAACAACCTCACGGCAGAATTTGTGCAGACAGAAGGATTAAGCAATATGAAGTGTTTTTTGTGGAATAATAGCAAAAGCAAAACCGATTTCTGTTGCAAAGAAGGAAAAGGACAATAAAGAAGAGAGTGATATGGGCTGAGGATGAAAGAGAAGACTACATATTCCATTCAAGACCCATTTTGACAAACTTATTTATTTGTAGCATTTATGTGCTACTTTTCCATGCCGAGGGCCCTTTACAATAAAAATACACCTATATATACTTGAACTGGCATACCTTCTTATTCTTGTATTGTTTCTAAATTTTGCAAGCCTTAGAAAATTTCCCAGAATGGGATATAAATTCACCAACCAACTAGCCAGCCCCAACACACACCAAATATAAAATGCTGCTATATAAGAGGGTATCTTAGAATGAACAATGGGGGTATGGAAGAGGTGGAGAGCTTCTGCCTTTCAGGATCAACCATCAAAAGTCACAGATTAGCACTTGGTAGAACATCCATGAAGACCTTGGAAAAGATATTCAGATGCCAGGATGTGTCTGCACCAGAAAGATCAGAATCGTGCAGGTCATGCTATTCCCTGTGACACTCCATGGAAGCAAAAGTTGGACTTTGAAGAAGCAGGATAGGAAGGGTGTTGATGCCTTTGAACTTTGGTGTTGGAGAAGACTCTTGGGAATACCATGGACAGCCAAGAAAACAAACTGATGGATCATTGAACAAATCCACCCAGAGTTCACATTTGAGGCACAAAGGACCAAATTATCCTACTTTGGATACATTAGGCCAGTGTTGTCCAAACTTGGCCACTTTAAGATGAGTG